AAACGGAAAATAAATGAAAATGTTAACTTAAGAAAAGTACCTGTCTTTTTTGTAACTCGGAGAGATAGGTCATCTCTTGTTTCAAGCGCTCCTTCTCCGCTCGCTCACGGGCCAGCTCTTCCCTAAATCTTCTCGACTAGTTACAGAAATGGTGACGCAATTCCAATGACGTGGGATATGTTGGTGCAGAGCCTTTAGGAATACAAAAACACGACAAATATTCAATATACCGTCAAGGAAATTAAACACCCCGTCTCAAATAAGATATTTTCTCGCAATAAATTTCCCAGAAGTGGTTTCACTCAGCATCAGTTTCCTTCCCAAGAATGGGTGAAATTGGGACTTAGGCTCACTAAGGTTTCTCGGCACCTTCCGGCGCTAAATGTCAGCCAGTCCTCCAGAACAAAATAGAAAATAGAAGTCGTAAAACATTGTAGCTTCAAAAGAGTCAATGCGCTCAACTGAGGTTCCCGGGACCGAACTACTGCAGCAAAATATCCCACCTCACTGGAAAAGCGCCGAAATGTTGTACAATTTGTAAGAATGGTTCTGATGAGGAATAAGAGCCTTTGGGAGGTTTGCGGATGTCCAACAAGCAAACAACAATACCTTAACCGTTCGGCTTCAGAACTACTACCACCACCAGTCTGAGCGTTCACTCTTTTAACCACATCTGATGACACTCCCACAGTTCTAGAATAACCAGAATTATGTGCACTCTATAAGATACATCAAATCAAACAGGAAAATAGATCCACTCACTTGTACTCTTCAGGAATTTCACTTCTATCAATTCGGACTACATCTGGCTGTTCTTCCTGACTTTGTGCAGATCCCATACCTGAACCGAAAGCTTGATGCTTATACTGAAAACATTAAAACTGCAATAAGCAAAGTACGAAAACTAAACCAACGTCGTTAGGACAAACAACAAACAAAAAACCTTGCAGTGGCCCGATGTACGGAATATTGCGTCTTGCTCCTTGAAACTGACGTGATATTGCGGCCTTGGTGAGCAACGCGCTGCCTTGGGATGGGACTGAATCCCTGTTTTCTCGGTGGCGTTCTGTTTTTCCTAATTGCACTGCTTTCCAAATAGCGCTAACGAGTTAGGGGAGGATGGGCGCGCTCTTGCATCTCTTTCCCTGCAAAGGCTCAGCCTAGGACCGAGAACCACGCAGTCGCGACAGTATTAGTCAAGCCAAAGACGATATATAGGTCTCTAAACCTCGAGAGCCTTAAATCGTGGAAAGAATACAGAGGCGCTGGGGAAACTCTCCAACACGTTACACCTTCCAGATAAGGTTTGTCTCTAAGTAAGCGAACGCCGCGCAATGGAAGCTGCACTACTACCTGCTTTGACACCGATAAGTACTAAAGTTTATCTGGCATAGAATTACATAGGAAAAGACGAAAGAACCGAACATACTACGCACATAACGACATACATGGCACTTTACGTAGGCAAGAGTAATCCGAAGAAAGACAACTACGCGTACACGATACGTACATAAGAACAAACGGAGATCAAGCAGGCAGATCTGGTTGTTGAGGGCTTCGCCCTTAGGAAGAGAGAGAGCGCGGACCTCGGACGGCCTTGGGTCGTCTCCTCGATCCAGGACTGTCGCGCTCCGCCTGAAACAAGCCATGAAGTCATCGAAGTGGTCGTCGGCTACACCTCACACCGCTTCACTCCCCCCTTACCAAAGTCCGTCCCGACGACTTTTGAAAGAACAATGAGTTCACCGAGGCGGAACGAGTGGGGATTCACTCACGAAATATCGCTCCAAGTGATCGGCGGGAGCGACGGCGTTGATACTGGTGGCCCAATCTACCACTCTCTTCCAGAACGGCACGACGGTGAGCGAAGAGACTTCGCCTAAGATGAATTGCCCATGGCGACATCGTGATATTGCTACGTTCATCCGGCGGTAGTCGTCCAGGAAGTCGGCTGAATCAGGGCAACAAATTAAGTGGCGCGTTGTCAAAAGAAATGACTCCTTTTTTCGCGTCCCTGAACTGAGTCGCAACTGTCGTTAAGCTCGAAACCCCCGAAGGCGGTGCCAACTTGTGCTGCAAGATGCAGGTGTTTTCCATTGATAAAAGGATATCAGCGCACAACTGAGGGAGTGACGGCCCCTTTAGTCGAGCAACAGCTTGATGAGCTGGAGATCAGACGCTTTTTGCTCATATGGCTTATGAATGCAGACTTGCGTAGGGCCTTCGTTGAAGGCCCCCTCAACCATGAAATGAGGCGATTTTGACAATATGTATCTATAAAGATCTGTTGGATGGGCCCACCGCCTAATGAGAGACCAATGATAATCAACTGGCTCACAGAAACCCCCACCAACGCAAGAAACGATAAAGAGCTTCGAGAACTTTCGAAGAACTCGATCAAGATGAAATGAAAAACATGGCACACACATGATAACACAGAACAACATAAACATATGCGCCACGAAACGAAATACAAATACTTTGAGCCCCTACTCCCTAGGTAACTCAACTTCTCCTTGCAACAAAACCATACCTTTTCCGCGGATCCTCTACAACTTGTCCTTTGACATCGCGAACCCTGTCGCTTCTTCTCCTCGTCGATTTTCGCTGCGCAGCCACGACGGTACTTCTCCACTTGTTCCTCCATTTCCCTGAAATGGGCACTATTATTCCTTCCACTTGCCCTGAAAATGGTGGCAAAACTTAATTTTCCATCTTCAACTTCTCTTATGCTTTACTCCACAACAAGTCTATGTCTTTGTTGACCAACCGGTCCCCGGGGAACATTTTCATTATTCTGTTTTTTTTTGTAAAACGGGTTTTAAGCCCCCGCTTAACCAGGCATTCTACTTTCCTACCGGACAAAAGAAAGGCTACAGCTGACAATACTCATAAAACTCACGAATTTGGAAGAAAGAAGAAAAAGGCGTCTGGGAGACGATCAGATAATGAAGAGAGGGTAAGAAAGGAGACGTGGGACGACTTGTCGCAGGCTGCAGGATTGACAGCTGTGTGCCCAGATCAAAAAGAGGATTACTGTAGTCTTTCTTTGGAGACACGTGCTGCAGTCATCTTCGCCTTTTTTGATCTTCGAGGTGACATGACTAACTCGAAGTGGCCACATTCGAGCTAGTTCGAAAGACCAAAGGAGAAGACTCTTCCTAAGTCCCAACATCAGCGAGGGGTGAACCACTCGCTGCTACCAGTAAGCGAACGCCGCGCAATGGAAGCTGCACTACTACCTGCTTTGACACCGATAAGTACTAAAGTTTATCTGGCATAGAATTACATAGGAAAAGACGAAAGAACCGAACATACTACGCACATAACGACATACATGGCACTTTACGTAGGCAAGAGTAATCCGAAGAAAGACAACTACGCGTACACGATACGTACATAAGAACAAACGGAGATCAAGCAGGCAGATCTGGTTGTTGAGGGCTTCGCCCTTAGGAAGAGAGAGATGAGGCCGCGGACCTCGGTCGTAGCTGCTGGTCGTCTCCTCGATCCAGCTGACTGTCGCTCCGCCCTGAAAAGGCATGAGTCATCGAGGGGTACGGTCGACTACACCTCACACCGCTTACACTCTCGTTAGGTGTATATTAACGATCCAGTCGATTTCGCCATGCGAATGCACAATTCCGACAAAGTGTTGCCGTTTTTGATGAAGGAACACTCTAGCATTTAAAAGCGAGTTTTTTCTCAAGGAAGCTTGTAACATGAAACTCCGTCTCACGACTTGGGTGTTTCCGATTGCTCGAGCCATTCTGGCCATCCGCGAAGCGATCCGGTGTTCGATCCGCAAGCTTCGGTAAGTGTCGGCGGGCGGGGTCGGCTGGGCGCGCGGGCGCAGGGGGCACATCGGTGTGAGAGCTCTGTCTTGCACGTCAGGAGGCTAACTAGATCGGCTATCACCACGCCGAATCGCCGAAATCATGAACACTTGGAGCGAAGCATCCACGATGCGTCAAGGTTAGCATATGGAGCGCAGACGGCTAGAGTTGCATAGAGAGTACAGACAATTGGAAGACAACGGTTGCTAAAGCAGGAAAGCGAGGGTGAACTTGTGGTGGGCATTCTCAAGGGGACAGGACTCCGATGCCTGCAGTGCCTGAAAAGTCGAAACTGCTCACAGTTGTCACAGGTAAGTGGCTCGTAATGACCCTGGTCTCGGACAAAAGAAAGGTCCTGTCAGCAAGGGCGAGAGTCGATCGAGGATTTTGATCCAGTCGGCGCACCACATGCCACCATTTCACCTCAATCGCCAGGTCCTTTCAATTGAACGTAACAGGAAAGTGACTTTCGAAAGTGTTCGGTAAAATCGTGCAAAACGAGTTCAGCATTTGTGAAAAATCGGGAGGATGAGATGAAAGGGCCAAACTCTGTCGCTGCGACGACGATCGGTGAAGAAGCATAAGGGCGCTGGGTGCTGAAGCGGTTGAAAACCAACCGCAAAATGGGGAATTCAAAAAATTGGACCAGTGGGTAGAAGAGCATGCTTTTTCCTCAAATTCATGTAGAGCATAGAAGAAACTGGGTTGAGGGAATCCGAAGGTGTGCCACTGAACCCAGGGGTCCGGTTCAGGCTAAATCATCGCGTTGTAGAATACCAGTCGGCTCGCCGGCTGACGCCGGCGCGCCTCCTTCCGTGATACGGCCCGGCTTCGCCGCGCTTACCTCCTTCTACACTGGATACTCAACAATTATCCGGCTTTTATTTCACCTGTACACATAGTCAACGCTCCTTGAGCAATAACATCATACCTACTATTTTCGACACTATTACCGTCTATGAATGGTGGTAAGCAGCGTTGATCAAATGCGCAGATGAGAGAGAAACCGGGTGTTAGTTGAGCATTCAAACATACGCAAGCAGGTGGGCGCGACGAAGTAAGCAAAACCGGCAAAGCCTGGCCCTATTAGAAAAGGAGTCGCGCCGGCGTCAGCCAGCGAACCGACTGGTATCAAATGTACGTGTGACAACAGGTGTTCAAAAGTGTGGCGGCCTATGCACTAAAACGCAGTGAAAGTAGGGACCCCGTGCTTGAGAACACGCTCCACCCACTGTGGGCGGGTCTCAACACACCACAGACATGCTGAACTCTCGCCATATGTTTCTCTTCACCAAAAGTTTTTCCTGATCTCCAAGCTCACTCATATACGATCACGAA